AAGACAAGGACAATCAGAAGGAAAGAATAAATGTTCATTCATTGTTTGCTTAGTGGGAATATTTCTCTAGACTATTTAGAAATTTTCCTTTTCTGTTTATTTTATAAATTAATTCCATAGTATTTTCTATATTCTTGTGTATGTGTCCAATTTTAATGTGTGTCGAGGAGCCCTTGTGTCTGATTGGTTATTACACATTTGCACGAATCTGTTCTCTCTCTCTTGTCTTAAATGTTCTGTCTGTTTGGATGATAGACTTCTTAGCGCACACTATATAATTTAATTGGTATACAAGGTGCTGTTAAAGATTCATGTAATTTTTAGAAGTGACCCTTGCTAAATACTGATAGTTGAAGATGTGTTAAAACATTGCTTGCAATAATTTCTCTAATTAAACTTAATATTAAGAAATATATTTTTATGTAGTTCATGGATGTAAAAATTTACAACATTTATCATGTAACAGTGTTTGGTTGAACTGATTACCAGCATTGTACTAGAACTGTGAGTATTAAGTTTGCATACCATAGATTAGAATCACAACTCTTGTTGCAGGGCTCAGGAGGGGGAAACTATGTAGGCAAATAAATGCAAGAATGTTAACTATTCATGAATTTAGTCGTACCTTTTTTTGTGTGCAAATGTTTTGCACGTTTTCTAAAACATGTTCATGGTAACTGCAGGAAAATTAGAAATTTGATATAAATTGATTTAATATAACTGATTATCACATAATGGACATCTCAGTATCAGAAGGACATCCCATCACAAGACCCAGAGACTTGTTTCTGTCTTCACCCAGAATAATGTTAAACCAGACTTTGAAGGCTCAAACTTTTATTACTTGCATATTCCTACCTTGTTCAGGTGTTGTGTTTTGGTGGGTTGTGTAGCACAAACTTTTTTTTTTTGTTCTCTTACTGAAATTGTTTCTGTTGGTACAGATGTTTTATAATTTGTTTGTTTTTATTACTGTGTGTATGATGAAGTGCTGCTTGGTATTCCAAGGGGATAATTAGTAACACTGTCATCACTATTTCAGTGCCTTGCAGCCATCAGCATGATTCCTCACTCCTTGGCTTCAGTGGGTCAGAGCTCTGTTGTCATCCCTAGAGACATTACCAAAAAAAAAAATTTTGTTTAATGAAAATTAGTCTTTAAGTAGGTTTTTTACTAGGTGATTCTATTGGCCACTTTTCTTGGTGAGTGTGTGTTGTAAAAAGCACTTCAGTTTTCCAGGTGTTTGGTGTTATATAGTTATCTTTACTATTTATGTCACTGGACTGAACAGTAGCAAGCATTTTCTTGATTTAATCTCTTTTTAACTTCACTGTGAATACAGTTTATGTTATTTGACGATGATGTTTAAAAGCGTCGAATAGAATAGTAAGATTATGAATGGTATGTAAGAGTGGGTGGTTCTCATGACATTTGAAGACTCTGTATTATACTGGAGACTGTTTGCAAAACCACGAAAATACTTTTGTCAGTAATTTGAACCTCAGCTGAGATTCGAACAGGCGATACTAGGACACAAGCTTGCCCTGCACTTACATCTCTGGGAAGACGTGTGTGTCATTTTAATGATCCTGTCATCATCCAGCGTTCAGCCATTCCTTATGTTGTGAATCATGAGTAGACCTCATGTTTGTAGTTTGCAGTGCGCATTTTGTTTCGCTTTGCATTCCTTTTTTATTATTTTTTTAATAAGGATTGATATTGTTTGAGATCGAAATGTTGATTAAAATATTCAGATCTAAAAGAATTGAAGTGGTATGAAACCGAATAAAATTACGTAATGACTAGTTCAATAATTTCCACTATTTATCTCATTATTAGGATTATTAACCGATTACTTTTAGATAGGTGAGACATATAGTATGCGTAGGTGTGGTGATAAATGATTAAGAAATTTTGGCTGGAAACCCCCAGGTGGAAAAGGAAGGATAATACCAGGAACGTATCTTTCAGAGGTAAGGTTTGAAGGATTGGACAGAGTCCTATGTCGTTTACAGGTGACCGCTGTAATAAATCGTGAAAGTCCGGGTTGTCACGGTGGCGAGTATGAAGATGGCTCTCTTCTGGGTTGTAGCGCCGTGTAATCTGATATTAGTTTATCGACATTTCAGAGGTGGTTGCGGTGACTCAACGAGCATAATGGTGGACGCAGTAAGTACCTCTGAAACGTCGGTAAACTATTCTAGACTACATTGAGTAACCTCCTAGACGATCGTCATCTTTATGTCTGCCGCCTTGAAAACCCGAAGTATCACCAGCATAAAAGAAGATATAGAAATGCCAGTGCCCCGAGAAAGATTCGAACCGGCGATTTTAGTATGTAGGTGTGCGGCCATCTGTTCCATGAGCGTGACACCTGGAACGCTGTATTATAGTTGCTGTGTTATAAAAAAAGTCAGTGGCCATGGCTTTGTGCACCAGTTGACTTACGGTAGATTACCGGCGCGACAACGATGTCGGAGAAGTTGCCGATAATGCAAGGCGAACTAATTCGAAATGAGCTGCGGTTTTGTCAGGGTTTCTTGAGTAACTTATGTTCATTTTGTCTGTATTTAATAGAGAATGACAGGCTTATAGTGTCTTCGTGGTCACGTGTCTGCCTTTCTCTTAATATTAACTTTTGGACTTATTAATGGAATGGAATGGAATGAAACACGGTATCAAGGGACTACCGCATCTGTATATTTCAGTTTCTAGCATAAGTAGGCTATCGTTGGAACTTAAGAGATTCAAGCTACATTATCGTCAGTTAATACTGGCTCTATAATGTGTGATTATAGATAATGACAAATATCTGACTGTTCCTAAGGTATTATTATTATGCATAGAAAACCATTGTGACTGTCCATGTTATATGTTTAGATTTGATTGCTGAAAATAACGAACCATTGAATGGCGTATAACTTATTAGTTAATGAATTTTGTTGACATTATATATATGAAATAAATTAACGTCGTGCCCAGTGATGAATTTGCAGCCTCAACTTTCACCTATCTTCTGACAGCTGAGAATGTTTCTACATTTTAGTGCAGCCATTCTCCCCGTATTTATAGGAATCTGTTATATTAGTAGCAGTACGAAGGCTGAATTATTGTGCGACTGTTAATGCATCAAGTTTCTTAGCCGCCGGCTTTCTATACTGTGTTTAACGTTTGTTATTGAAGGCGTGTGAGAACAAAGACCTGAACGAAATGTTTGGACTCAGGATAAATAAACGTAATAAGGGAATGGGGACAAATGCATGACCATGAGTGTTAACAATTTGTTTTCCACCAAGCATTGTTTGAGTAATTTTAAAGCAAACTTCTGACTGCTCGCTAAACACCATCCTAGTAAAACATCCTACGAAAGTATATTCTCGTATTACTTTCACGTTAAGGTCCATTCTGTTGTATGAATGTCTGTATTGTTTCCATTTTAATAGACCTTGTGATATGCTAAAATGCCTTCGCGTGATTTTCCGCAAAACGTTATTTAAAGATTGAAAATCTGTGTTGTATATGCACTCTTTTAAAATGACTGCACATTAGGAAATTGTCCAATCATGATACAGCTTTGCTGGTAATTTTCTCACTTGAAATGTAACCGTATAATTTTTATATTTGAAGACACATTTCTTGCCCCGCACCTCCCATTTTACACGATTACCATGACTTCTAAGGATTTTTTTATTTATATATCCTTTTCGCTCCTACGTGAAGCATATGACCTCTTCTTGGAGGTTTATTTATCTAGTAGACATTTGGTAGGACTTGGACGACGCAAACTTCTAAGGAATAATAGTATTGGTAAAATTTATCGACTCGTTTCCTCCGTTATTGGATACAACGTATTCTCTGCAGTCGATGTTCCATTGCTTATGCTATATCCTTGCTGGTTTCTATTTAAAGAAGCATTCTGTTTTATTCACGTGGTAACGATTAATTTCTTTTATTGAGTAGACACAAATGCTTTAACTGTTTTGAGGTGGTGGTAGTGATATATCTCGTTCGTATCATGAAAAGGGTTAAATGATTCATCAATCATTAGGCAAAGGAAGTCGCTGTCACATTAGACTCTTCCATTCCGCTGAATAATTTAAACTATATCTGAGAAGAGGAATGACGTGGACTGGGAGGACCATATCCTCTAATATCAGCCTATCTTCGTGGAAATGTGTGTTAATACAGCACCCGCGATGGGTAAAAGATTGTGTTTCATTTTCCAAACATTTTTTTACTTCTGGGGAAATAACGCCGATATCCGTTAGATGGAAGGGTGGGTTTTCTCCGAAACCTGTCTGAACGCGGTGGCTAAGAGAAAAAAGTTCCTGCCTGTGATGGGAATCGAAACGCGATAGTCCAATTTCTAGCCACTTACTCGACACGCTGAAATGTCTCAACACTAAACGCGAATGGAAACATTCATTTATGTAACGACACTGAAAAAATGCAGTCGGTACCAGAATTCACCGCTTCCGCCTTTAAACCTCAGCATTAAGAATGCTCGAGAATATTCGCTCCAATTCCGAGTAGCTCTGATGACGTTTTAATCACAGTTAGATTGGGCGCTTTGTAATCAAGGTTACTCAGGTTATTCTGTACTTTTACGTACTTACTTAGGATATTTGGAACGACCCGTCCTTCGGTGCTTTGAGCATCTGCGGGTCCCAACTCTCGTTGGCTTTGATCTATTAGACAGTTGGTAGGACTCCTTGGACCAGTAATCAGCCCGTCGCAAGGCCTCTACCTGTACAGCACAACACAGAAAGACGCGGACAAACATCCGTGCCTGGAGTGGGATTCGAACCCACGGTCCCAGTGACCAAGCGGTACAAGGCCCACGCCTCAGACAACGCGGCCACTGTGACGGCAGGTTATACTGTTTATATTATTATTATTACTTTTAACAGGTACTTAGTTTCTGACCTGATTATTTTCCAAATCATTTTCATCTGCTATTACGGTTGGACTAACCTATTATAGGTGTAGGGTGATTGAAGATGCACAGTTCGGGCTTCCAGTGATGGCTTCTCAGCTCCCCTCAGGGTAGAAGTCCCTCTCGTGGTGCAGGCTGCCAACGTTTATCACCAAAGATGTCCCTCGGGCTAATCTAGGTCTGCTGATAATGGCCTCCAATCACGGAATTGGCTTCAACAGTTGGTGAACAGGTACCACGGCGCCGCGTGGATTCCTCCGGAGCGTTGTTCCCTCGGGAAAGGCTTCGTCCACCTCGGTACAGACTCAAAGTCCCTCCGGCCTAGTCAACTGCTGAAAATTCTGGAAGTCGGTAAAGTAGCTCTCCTCTATCCCACCGCTGCCACCATGAAATCTCTTGTGATTTCAATTGCATGTTCAACCGTGAATGTTGATCATCGAACATGTCTTTTAGTTGGGATAGTCGTTGGTTCGGAGCGGAGCTAAGTCCGGCTCAAGGAGAGTTAGAGGTGACTTCTTAACTTCCAAAAACACAACTCCAATTGAAGAAGGATTTATTAAAGGATATTAATGTAGTGCCCAGAGGCACTTACAGAATGTCCTGTTGAAACCGATACAAAGATACAAAAGAATGAATGAATGAATCCTATATTACTCTCAACATGAGTATTTATAATGCTCGTCTTAGGCGTTGGTCAAAGGAGTTGGGGCTGTAACAGTATGCACGTGGTGGTGACACATGAGAGTTGCACAAAGACATTTAGTTCGTACCACTTGGTGACAACTCCAAGCATGTGTGCACTTTTGTGTTGGGCAGCCTTTGTTAACCTAGATTAGTCATAACCTAAGAATCGAGCCACATAATGTTATAATACAATAAAATTTACACTTTTAATTATACTTTCTTAGGTCTTTTATTACACCTCAAATGACTGTTAGTTTTCCTCATTCCTTTCAACTGCTTCCCGCAGGAACAAAGAAAAGCAAAAGCATGTTTTATTGGTTCAATCTCAATGGAGTTCCCACAGTTAATACAAGTCGCGCTGTACATCACCTAGCTTCGCTGACCTTGAAACATAAGAACATACAGTCGAAAAGTTACCACCTCCCAAATGAAAACTGCTCTTGTAAACTGTGTACCATTGTTCCACCTCGGAAAGGCAACTTGGTCCTTGTTGAGAAACGGTCCTTCGTCTCACGAAGGAATTACGCAGATTGAGGGTAAGATTTCACGTTCACACGGCGGCAGATAAGAAGATTGCTGTCTTCTGGGATGTCGCGCCCTTCCAATTCTTCACTGTAATCAATGGCGTGATCCATCCAACAAGTTTAATACCTAGGAAGTCCATACCGGCAACAGCATTGTTGGCCGAAATGTTTTTGAACATGAAACATTCAACTCCACCAGCGAAAACCTACGGTCAAGTTTAGTTCAGTTATCTGTGCACTAGAAGATAGAAACATTATCGCTGACTGAAAAGGACGCTCATATCATTGTCCGCCTTTGTTCGGAAGTAAGAAGCCATATAGCACGTTTCTCTCAATCTACTTTCCTGTACAATATATCAATCATGATGTGTGATGAACAATTTTCTTACCTTAATAACCTTCTGGAGTCTGTAGCAACAAGAGTGCCAAAAATTATATTACATAAAGCTGAAGAAATATTTCCTTCTCTGAAGAGGACCTCCGTAAGTATACAAACAAACATAATCAATAGTTATATAAAAAGGTCTCAAGTCGTTATGTTATAATGTGGTTGAAAAAAGATTTCCGTCTTGTGTTCATTTTGTTATGGCTACCATGAGCATGACCGCTACACAGTTAACAGTATGGAATTATCCTTTATAAACGAAAGAAGGTGTGTATGTATCTATGGGGATTGAATTTGAGATGTTTGTGTAAAAGGATATGTACCTTGGCATCACTACAGTAGGACTCCAGTAAAAAAAAATTTTCATCAACACATGGTTAATGAATTTTCTTGCCGCACATAACATTACAGCAGTTTCTTATATTCTGGAAATTTTGATGTGAAAAAGATTTGCGAGATACAATTTTATCCTGAAAATATTCAGTATTAGCTTGAGGGCACCCCACATTCTATTTCAGAATATGCTATTGTAAATTCTAATCCAGTTTATACCTGCATTTAATGCATATCATCTCAAGGAATTATGTTTAACTCATACTTTTACAGCAGAATTGTTATAAAATCAAGACAGAAAATGATGTTGATGTACTGAGTGTAGAAGATTCTGTTGGCTTGAGAATTGATGAGGTTTATTCACTATCAACTTTTTCAATAACAAAGGTAAGCCTCCTTTTAACCACATTATTTATGGTTCTGTACAAATGTATCCATACATGCATGCAGGTGCTTCTGTTTTGGGGGAACTGTTTAAAACAACATTTCTGCAAGACAATAATTGTATATGTGTAACAATGTGATATGTGGATTCGGTGAAAGATGAACCTCATTCAGACAGTGAGACTTGTCAAGATGGAAATCAGGTCATCAGTGTAAAAGCTAAGGATGTCTCAGATATAGAAATTGAGGAACTTCATGTTCCAATAACATTTCCAGTTATAAAGGATGAACGGGAAGTATGTCCCTTAAAGTGTCGCTTGTCCTCATGTGTGTCTATCCATCGAAATGAAAAAGTCACTGCTGATGATTAATTTTTGAAATTGTATCTAGGTTATGAATGTTATCACAGACAATCTTCTGACATTTGTAGATCCTGCGAATTATTCTACACATGAAATCAGAGCACTGTGTTTGTTTAGGCAGTACATTCAGGCTCTACCCCATCCATAACATAACTAATAGTTATAAAAAGTTCTCCAGTCATTATGTCATAATGTGGTTAAAAAAGATACCCGTCTTTTGTTCATTATGTTGTGGCTACCATGAGCATGACCACTACACAGTTAACAGTGTGGAATTATCGTTTATAAATGAAAGAAGGTGTGTATTTATTTATGGGGATGGAATGTGAGATGCTTGTGTAAGAGACTATGTACCTTGGCATCACTACAGTAGGATTCCAGTAAATTTCTTGTTTCATCAACACAAGGTTACTGAATTTTCTTGCCAGAGTTTCTTATTTTCTGGAAATTTTGATGGGAAAAAGATTTGCGAGATACAATTTTATCCTGAATATACTCAGTATTAGCTTGAGGGCACCCCATATTCTATTTCAGAATATGCTATTGTAGATTATCATCCAGTTATACCTGCATTTAATGCACATCATCTCAAGGAATTTTGTTTAACTCATACTTTTACAGCAGAATAGTGATAAAATCAAGACAGAAAATGATGTGGATGAACTGAGTGTAGAAGATTCCGTTGGCTTGAGAATTGATGAGGTTTACACACCATCAGCTTTTCCAACAACAAAGGATGAATGGAAGGTAAGCCTCCTTTTAACCAAATTATTTATGGTTCTTATCTGTTTGTTTGTATGTACAAATGTATCCATACATGCATGCTGTTTTTCGGTAACTGTTTTATAAAACAACATTTCTGCAACACAATAATTTTGTATGTGTATGGTGGTTTTACAGAACTGTATGGATTTGGTGAAAGATGATTCTCATTCAGACAGTGATATGTCTCAGGATGGAAATGTGGTCATCAAAGTAAAAGCTGAGGATGTCTCAGATATAAAAATTGAGGAACATCCTGTTTCAATAACAAAACAAGTTATGAAGGATGAACAGGAGGTATGTCCATTAAAGTGTCAATTGTCCTCATGTGTGTCTGTCCATCCCAATGAAAAAAGTCCCTTCTGATGACTAAATTTTGAAATTGTATCAAAGTTATGAAAAGTATCACAGACGATCTTCAGACATTTG